AAAAATTAATAAAATACATACAAAATCAATGAGTCTTCTGGTACCCACTATCCTGGAATGTTTAGACTGACTTAGATGACTGTTCTAGACAAGAGACAATAAAACGGAAGGAGGGACATCATGTAATGTTTATGTCTAATATAACCCGTTTGTCATATAGATATCCTTCTTGGCCACGGGCATCGGGTGATCTGAATTTCTGTTATAGCCCTAGTATCCTATAACTCTACCTGTCTGTTATAACCTTATTGTCATATACATTCTAGATGTCTTTCATAACCACGGATAGCAGGTGATCTTAATTTCTGTTAGAGTAGTATTATCATATAAATCCACTCCCAAACCAGGGACATTAAGATATATGAATGTCAGCTATAATATAACCAGAATGTCATAAAGTTTTACTCCAAACCAAGGGACATTGGTATATTTCTAACTTATCCTTTTATCATTTACCTCTTTTACCAGACCAGGGAAGGATAGACATGTTTGTGTAGTGTTATGTAGGTGTCATTTGAATATTATTTCGACCCAACTGCTGGACATGAATATGCTGCTTAAGTGATGTCTACTGACCCCATGCATACTCTGGTCCGATAACAGAGCAATCTGATCTGAATGTCACCTTTGGCAAAGGATCAGAGGACCCGACAAATCGGTTCAATGTCCTCTTAGATTTCGATGATGAGATGGAGATGAATGCCTCAGCGCTTCGTGCTTCGACTCCATCGAAATCCAGTCAAAATAGCAAAAGATAAATAATACAATTATCCAATGGAACATCCGCGGATTAAAGGCAAATATAGAAGAATTTCAGAATCTATCAAAAGAATTTAGCCCCGCCATTTTTTGTCTACAAGAAATCATGCTCAAAAACCCAATCACGCTTAGAAATTTCTCACTCTACACTAACATTCCAACTGTAGTTAGCAGAGCAGCAGGTGGCGCAGCGGTAGCTGTCCATAAAAATATTCCTCACAGAATGATCAAGTTAAACACAAATTTACAGGCTGTTGCTGTCTGTGCAACATTACACAGACAAATAACCGTCTGTTCAATTTATCTCCCTCCGAGTATTGTTTTCACTTGTGAGCAACTCAATAATCTCGTCTCCCAGCTCCCAACACCATTCATAATCCTCGGTGATTTTAATGGTCATAATAGCCTGTGGGGCTCTCCCAACACAGACGAGAGAGGAAGACGTATTGAGGAATTTATAGATAAAAACAACTTGTGCCTTTTTAACAACAATACCCCTACTTATTTACACCCTGCTACAGGCTCTCGTACCCACATTGATCTATCATTATGCCATCCATCCATTTTACTTGACTATGACTGGAGGGTAAATGATGATCTTTGTGGGAGTGACCACTTCCCAATTTTTCTTCAGAATATTGGGACTCCTCTTGATGATCCTCTACCTCGATGGAATATGCACAAAGCAGATTGGGCCCAATTCCAACACATGTGCATTGAAAAACTAACCATAGACAATTTTACTAACCTCGACGACCCTATCAAAACTTTTACTGAAACACTCACTTCTATTGCCCAAAAGACAATTCCAAAATCCGCTCCAAAACCTACGAAGTTCCTTTTATCTGAAGAATCTTTTAAAACACGCAGTAATCGGGCAGCTGCTCTAAGACGCTACTTCAATTGCCCAACTGCTTCAAACTACAGTGAATTTAAAATTTGGCGGGCAAAGGCTCGGCGATCAATTAAAATTGACAAAAGAAACAGCTGGAGAGAATATGTATCCAAGATATCATCAAACACGTCCTCAAAAAAAGTATGGGATATGATTCGGAAAATAAGTGGGAAAAAGAAAAAGGCAACATCCTCCCACCTCATTAATAAAAACAAAATTTTCTCGTCTATAACTGAAATTGCTGATGCATTTGCAAAAAACATAGCTAAAAACTCATCCCCTTTAAACCACTCCCAAAAATTCCAGTCTTTGAAAAAAAAGAGAGAAAAGAAACGGCTCAATTTCAAATCATCAAACAAAGAAAGTTATAATGAACAATTTACCCTACCAGAACTTGTTGATTCGCTTAGAAAATCACAGGACACTGCTTCAGGTCCTGATGATATTCCATATCAATTTCTAAAGCACTTACCGGACTCTTCACTAACATGCCTTCTTTACATATTCAACCAAGTTTACGCTTCCGGAAAGATTCCCGATTCGTGGAAGAACTCCACAATTATACCTATCCCAAAACCGGGAAAGGATGCTACTGACCCAAACAACTATCGTCCTATCTCTCTGACTAGTTGTGTATGTAAAACTTTAGAACGAATGATAAACACTAGACTGGTTTGGTTTCTTGAGGCCAACGATATAATATCCCCTCTTCAAAGTGGCTTTAGAAATAGAAGAGGGACAAATGACCATCTCATCAGATTAGAGACGTTCATTCGAGAGGCTTTCGCCAAGAAAGAACACCTTGTCGCTGTGTTCTTCGATCTTGAGAAGGCCTATGATACTACATGGCAGTATGGCATCATGAAAGATCTTCACGACCTTGGCGTACGTGGAAACCTTCCCAATTTTATATCTAATTACCTATCAGATAGACACTTCAAAGTCCGTGTTGGTTCAACTTTTTCTGAAACGTCTAAACAGGAAATGGGAGTCCCACAGGGTGGAATCCTATCAGTCACACTGTTTGGTCTTAAAATCAATGATATAGTCAAATGTCTTGGTCAATCAACAGAAGGGTCGTTATTTGTGGATGACTTCTTGATCTGTTACAGATCTAAGAACATGCACACGATAGAACGACAACTTCAACAGAGTTTAAACAAACTACAAAATTGGGCAGACGAAAACGGCTTCAAATTCTCTAAATCCAAAACTGTGTGCATGCATTTCTGTCAAAAACGAAAAGCACACAATGACCCAAATCTAACACTCGATGGCACTAGAATTCCTGTTGTTGAACAGACTAAATTTCTCGGCCTCATTTTTGATTCGAAACTCTCTTTCATACCACATATAAAGTATCTGAAGGATAAGTGTTCCAAGGCGTTAAACATTATACGAGTCCTTTCTCATACTGATTGGGGAGCGGATCGTGAAATGCTTTTGCGCCTATACAGATCACTTATTCGAACAAAACTGGATTATGGTTCTATGGTATACGGGTCAGCGCGCAGTTCGTACCTTCAGATGCTAGATCCAATCCATAACCAAGGGCTACGTCTTGCCCTGGGAGCTTTTCGAACAACACCTGTAAAAAGCCTGTACGTGGAAGCAAATGAACCATCCCTTTATGACAGAAGAATAAAACTTTCATTACAATTTGCAACTCAATTAAAATCAAACCCTAAAAATCCTGCTTTCAACCAAGTATTCAACCCCAAATACCAAAACATATTTACGCAAAACCAAAAACTTCTGCCAACATTTGGTATCCGAATTTTGAATTTCCTGCAAGAACTCAACATAAAATTGACGGACATAGCTGAATTTAACATATCTGATGTTCCTCCGTGGACCATTCAAACCCCCGATTTTAACTTTACATTACATGAGCGAGGGAAATCAAGTGTTATGCCCGAAGAACACAAATCCTCCTTTCGGGAATGCATTTCGAATTACCCTTCTCATACACAACTTTACACCGATGGCTCCAAAGAAGGTGAGAAAGTGGCAGCAGCCTGCTGTACTGCCAATACTTGCACTTCAGTCCGACTACCAGACGGCGCCTCCATCTTTTCTGCTGAAGCATGCGCCATTGGTTTGGCCCTCGACCATATCGATGAACACCGCATTAAAAAGGCAATTATTTGTTCAGACTCTCTATCTGTCCTACAGAGTTTACAGTTACGAGATCCTAAAAACACAATCGTACAAAACCTTGCTCATCGAATATCTCGTATATTAAAAAAGTCTAAAATAACTTTACTATGGATTCCGAGCCATGTCGGAATAAAAGGCAACGAATTTGCTGACAGGGAAGCAAAAAATGCATTGAATCTCGAACAAACAAATATCAAACTACCATACACAGATTTTAAACCTACTATTCGTACAGCCATTCAAAATGAATGGCAGAAACGCTGGTCTCTGGAGACCAACAACAAACTTTTTAAGATACAACCGAAACTTAAAACATCTATTCCCAGTCGGAAAGATCGTAGAGAGGAAGTTGTCCTCGCTCGGCTCCGCACTGGGCACACATATCCTACTCATTCGTACCTTTTAAAACGAGAAGATATACCTTCATGCCACGCATGTGACACTCCATTTACAGTGGAGCATTTTTTAATAGAATGTTCCGATTTTAAACACATTCGTGATAACTACTTCCGAGTCCCGGATATGAAAACACTTTTCAGTTCCGTGGATTCGAAGGCATTATTTAACTATTTGAAAGACATCGGTCTATTTTATAGACTCTGATGTCTTTTAACCCACCTTATCATTTTTGACGTTATATATATATCGCATATTCCATATCATCTATTCGTTATCTCTTTTATTATTTTAACCCCCTTTTATTATTTTTTATTATCTACACATACAATGCGAATACTTTTAAAATGAACCATTTTATCTGATTTTATCTTCGCTTTTCACATGTTTGTTAAAAAAGTAAAATAAATAAATAAATCACCATGGCCCTAAATGACCACAGCCGTCGATGGGCCGTTAAACATAAACAAACAAACAAACAAACAGAGCAATCTGTAAACACAGCATCCGTATTTGCATTCAAAATGATGTGTTCATAAGTAAGAGAAATTACCCAAAACCTTATTTGCATTGATAGAAGCACAGGGGCCTTCATGCGAGAGAAATCTTGATTACATGGAATAAACCATGTACTCAAGATTGGTAAAGTAATCTGTTGGAAGTTCATCGTTCTTTTTCAGAAATGACGGTATATGATGCGTAACTGTTTGTTAATATAAACCTGTTAAGTTTAATGTTTGAGGTTATCGGTCAAACCGTCTTTTAAGGGTTTTTTTCATTTCACTTTCAGGCGTGGTGGATAGCATGTCGGACTATCAATCTAAGTACGCACTACGGCTGATAAGTACCCGACCGGACGTTGCTGAAGTATTGGTCACGTGGGTCGACGTGGATATAAATGAGCCCTTCCAGGTTCATCAAAAAGGTAAACATAGTCTACTGTATACGTGTTGCCTGCCATTCTGTCTTGAACATAATAAAAAAGAATACACTAGATCGTTTATCAGAATGTTAACGATTCGCTAATGTAATTAATTGTAATGAAATTCAAGTTCTATCAAGACAAAATCCCTGTTGATAAAATGCATGTCCTAATCAACCCATTGATGAATACTTCATTCACACTGATTGGCGAAATGTCAAAAACTGAGTGACCAGGTTTGCGGATTCGCTCCGTTGTGTTCCTCTGTCATGAACATTTTTGCTCGATATGTTTAGGTTATTAGCTGTACTCATGCTCAGACTTGACCGGTATCTAAAATACCAAAATAGTTAACATGTTTCGTACAACATTTCACCTCCGAGATTGTAAGCCGCTATAACCACAACAAATGTGTTAAATATATATTACTGTACTGCAATTTATCATTGAGTTTCTGTTGTAGTATCTATAGGTTCACAGTGATATGTACATTAAGGCAATTATGCAGTTATTTTTCAGTCAATCATATCACACTGTTTCATTTTAAGATATCTCCGAGAGTAAAAATATTTTCAGAATAAAAATATGAAATGTTATTCTTGTAAGGCCTTAAGGAAGATTCTGTAAATATAAATTACAGTTATTCTTTTCCCTTTTGTACTAAGAGCTAATACGTTGTGTACATAAACGACAAGAATTCCTATAAAATTCCATGTAACCCTTGGACAAACTGTCTTCGCTTAGTTTCAGGTTTCCGTAACACCAGCTTGGACATGTTACTAGTCTGTCGGCAAGGGCTTGGTATTTGGGCCGCCATGGCTTCTAACCAGCCATCTAGCGTGATAGCCGTCTACTCACCGGAAACATTATCCATGAGATCCAGAAGTGATCAAGCACTTCAAACGTCTTCCACCATAATTTATCATGACAACAAACTTGGAATAGATGTCAATCGTCCAAAGGTGACGTCACAACTGTACACGTCAGCGACACTGGAAACAATACGTAACATCACCCAGAGCCTGCAGTGGAAGTCTGTGGCCATCATCTATGACGTAGAGGCTGGTAAGTTATACTGTTTGGTGTTGTTACGTATTACATATCAGTGTAATATAATCCTGTAATATAAAAAGTTGTATCAAATCAGTTTTGAAATACAGTTTTCTTCATTGCATCGTTTTACCCGACGTCGTGTTGTCTGCAATTGTTGAGAGTTTCGAAAGCAACTTGAATATTAACCTGTTATTAGATATAACCTATAATTTAAAGAGCATACACATACATGTCAAATAGTTACGATTTACATCAGTTCAAATCAATATACATACACGTTGAACACACAAAAAATGCTCATTACAGTCATAACGCAAGTTCGTAAAATTTTCTAATTCATAGCTAGGGAAAATCCATTCAATTTCAAACAATTGATGATGGTGACAATGTCGAAATGCAAATGCCTTGACATAATATATACGTGTGTATGATCCGACTTACATTGTGACTGAGGTATATAAAGTTACTATTAATCCATTTTTTGTGGATTAGACACTACCGAATCGAAAAGGTAGGGAAGCTGTGACAAATACATAGATCCCAAATATAGCAATACATATAATGGGTTAGTTTTGGTTTCTTAAATGTCCCCTTAGTAGAAAACACAGAAAAAAACGATGTTGCAGGAGACACATTAGTCGCCTCTTACGATAATATCCCGTGAGAAACAGTAACTGTTCTTTACCCGAATCTCCATTGGTGAATTGATATAGATAAACCAAACAGTATACATAAGTATGGTTTCTGTTTTCTTACCAGAGTCGATGGTAGATGAGCTGATTATGTCACTGAACAGACAAGGTATATTTGTGATGTCCTACCCAGAACATGAAATCCACATGGTGCAATCAAACAACCGCACATTGCTTGACGATATTTACGAAAGTTTTGACGAAAAAGGGGTCAATATCACTGTCATCTGTCAAGTCCGGTGTGTCCAGCGTGTCCTAAACAGGGTAGGTCGGAACGTTGCACTTATGGCATTCGAAACCTGTTTCTTGTCAATGACATGATAAACATCAGTCTTAGTAAAGAGTTTTGTTGTGTTAAGATACTACATTGTATACTACCCTAACCCTAACCCTAACCCTCCTCCTACACTGAAGTTCTTATGTGCATTAGGGAATATAATCTTGTTATTGTCAAGAATGTGTTAGAATTGCCTATGAACGAGTTCATTGACGATGAGTTTGCCACTAATGCTGCAATAGCTCTCACTTGGTATAAATGTTTTGTGATATTTAGTCATTGCATGTCAAAGGAAGTGAATGGCTGTACAATGTTCTGTGCCTGTGTATCCGTTTCCGATTGTTAAGCAGATTGATTGTTTTCCTTTCCAGGCGAATTTATTTGATCACATGCGGATCCACAAGCACCAGACTGCAATGCGACAAAGGTCAAGGTGGTTTATCATCACAAGCTCTTCTGACCTTGACCAAGACGTTGGAGCTTACAGTTATGACCTTGACAATGTGGCTGTATTCAATCTCCATCGCTGTGCTGTAAAATTAAATAACCAAGATGTAAGTCACTGTTCTACAGTACACACCTTCTATTGCATAACTTCTTCCGGAAAAGGATCGAACAGGACGTTCACATGGGATGAACCCTTCTTTTTAACAATTCTTACTTTTCATGAAGTGAAATATTCTTTTATGTTCTCATGTTCTCAGAAACAGCAACAAATTATTTGAGGTCAGTTTCTGCAGATTAAAATGCTGGTTAATAATCAAGGGAAATGACGACAACATAGATTAGCCTATTTTCGACAATAGCAGGGTTGCGGGTAGTATGTGCGTGAAACTAATGGCATTATTTAAATCGAGTTAAACAACGGATAATAAAAATGAAGACGTTTGCACAGCGTCATATTTATCTATTGTTCCGAGGAGTTAAATGTGGCTTTTGGTTTACAATCATTATTAATTCAAGATTAAGCAAGTTCAATGACAGACTGAATCTAATTAATCGTATAAACAATGTTTACACATTAACTTTTAATAATCTTCGTGTAGTTGTAACCGTTCAAAACTGGCTAGTATATTTAATACATCTTTTTTTTGTTATCCTGAAAGTCACATGATTTGATACGTCGATAGCTATTTCGTATTTTAACTGGTATCGAGTAGATCAAATAGTATAATTAATTGGATTTACGTTCCTATATCATACAAATAATTTAAATCGGTGTTTCTCTAGAGACAGACTAACATTCTACAATGATGTTCACGGTATTCCACAATTAACAAAGCGTGTCGAAAGTGATATGTTTAACAGTGCCCTCACAAAACTTAATTGTACGTCGTTATAGAACATCATACATAACAAATAGCAATGTGCGTTGACTCTATACTGTGTTATTTTTTATTATATCTCAACAGACGAAGATGCCCTCCCTCCTCGACAAGGATGGCCTGCATTTAATTCCCTCTGCTAAAATAGTTGTCTCCACAAACGGGGCCAACGTTACTCTACCCGAACAATCGTTCGACAAAGTATTAGAGGTAACAGCAAGCATAGTTAAAGGAGTCCACAATTTAAAAGTATTCTTACATCAAATTCAATGTTTATCTGTCCTATAAACCTTCCCTTTATCACGCTACAAACGTATTCTGGCCATTTTTTGGACATTTATAATTACTAATTATAATTATTAGATTGTAATCTCGCTCTCTCACCGTCGTACTCTCGCTCCGAGCTGTCGTGTTTATAAGATAAGATAATAGATACTATCTTTAGTAGTACTGTACTAAAATAGCGATATTTGTTTTTTGTCTCTGATCACCTACCATACCTTCTGAATTTAATCTACTCTAGCAGTGTGGTGCACTTACGGCTTAGTCATTGTTCGAAGGTTAATTGGAAGTTTAGAAGACCGTGAAATCATTTATTGAATCCTTATAAAAGATTAATCTCAACTTTTCATTTCACTAGATACATCCGAAGCCAGACCTTCTGTGCTGTTTTTTATTGACAGAAAGTGCACACCCTATGTGAACTGCTTGTAGGGATACATATCTCAATTATTCACAAGAGTAATTATATTTTCTAGCTCGAATTCCATTCAATATTGTACGTTTCGTTACTGATTGCTGCGTGACACCGGCGTTTTGCAGCTGTAACATCCTGGTGTAAATTACGTACGATTTGGTACCTTAATGGACAATTCATCTTAAGTGTACCAAATTGATCTGAGAAATTCATTTTAATAATTCAAAATTTAATATCTATTAGATATTATGCTAATTGAACTCGGGGAAAAGCATATATTAGTGTTTTATTTGTTACTTTTGATCGGTATATCAAGGTGTTACAAAGATTTGATGGCCATACTTATATAAAGGTGTGAAGAGTTTATAACAATATTGAGGTCCTTCATATTTGATGTAACAGTAATGTTTATTCTAGCGTATTGTATACTTTATTTATCTGTGATACCAATATCAACGTGAATTCAGTATGTCAGTCTCGTCAAATTCAAATTGTTTCAGATATAAGGGATGTGAATGCATTAACATTGTGACAATATATGTGACCATATATTTACTTAATATTATCATATAATTTGATATATAAAATCTGGAAAACTATTAAGGAAAAAGAGTCTATATCTGAGCACAAAAAAAGGGCTTCAGATTGAATGTTTCCGAAATGTCAATTAAAAAGTGAATTGATGTGACATTAATGTCAACTACAATAATGATCTGTTTGTGTGTACAAATTACATAATTAACACAGAGAAACACGATGAGTTAGCTTTGTTTTCTGAACAATATAAACTAGAATTACACAATGATTTCATGCAATTATGAAATTATATCAAGCTGTTGATTCCTAAGTGTTGTCTGAAACTCGAATCACTCTTTCACTCGAAAGATTTCCATCGTCGAAGTTGTATAAATACTCGTTTCATGGTCTTGTCGAATTAGGAAAATGATGTCCTCAGGCCTAACATGGACCTTCAATTTCCGTAAAATACGGTGAACAACGATAAAAATAGATGGTTGTGTTCATTTACATTGGATAATGAAAATACAATAACCGAAAATACCGAAAGGACAGCACATCAAAATTTAAGACATTCTTAAACGTAAGAACTCGAGGCAAATGAGGCGATCAACAACCACACGCTTTTCTCGCTCCAGCGGTATCATTCATCATTACGTATTTTGTAAAATTAAGACCGTATTCTTTTCTTTTAACGTAAATGCAACTTCTTTGGTAGAAAGTCATGATCAAGTAGCATGTCGTCAACAGGACAAATCTATCAGAAAATTCTGATTCTTTATACAGTGTTGTAGGTTATTTCCGAGGCATATTAACAATCGGGAAATTCATGTTTTCACGTTTGGATACAGTTGAATGATCATTAATGTTATCATATCGGTAAATGTCATATGAAATTGTTATTGTCTTCCTGTAGGTAAATATGATTTTTTTTAAACATAAATGAAGAGAATGGATAACAGAAATGTGAATAATTCTAGAAATTATTCGTTTTTGAAGACAAATGATCGACATATCTGAACATGAATTAAACTTATCAAACCATTATTTTTCCCACATAATTAAAGTGTTTTGGAACCTAAGCTTCAAGACTAACTAATATAGCTATAAAGTGAATATTCGATCAATCAGCACGTTAGCTCCACGATGGTTTGTGTTCATGTGTTCGTCGGAGAAGTCCAGATCTTTATAGCAAGTGCTTACATATACATTGCTTACATTGTGTGTTTTTGTGATAGATATGTATTGTTTGATAAGCAAACATTTCGAGTATAGATTTGCTTGATTATGCTCTGGTTTATTGCCGAAACAATTTGTGTTTTATTGAAAGCAGACCTTAGTTAAAAGATGTTGACATTGTTTAAATATTGATTACAGATCATAATTGTGATAATTTACAACGCATATGCTTTCATCGTTGTTATATTGGTCCCTATTAGTTTGTTCAAATACCACACACAATTCCAATTTATTGTCATTCTTCTGATTCAATGTTGCGAAAACTAGTTCGTTCTATTTATCAATCCATCGCGTGAGCTCAATCGGACGCGTGTTTTACGTTTCCATGTGAGAGCGCAACATCACCGTGGATCTATGATATGTTCCAGGTATACACTGCACTGCTCATCCTGAATAGTTAGAAATAATTAATGCATGAATACAATATATCTAACGGAATTTGCGTTCTAATTAACATGTATATACTTACCTGTCGGCTTATCTGTCCGTTATAATTTGCATTGCGACCCCAGTGCATTTAATATCTTGCATCTGTCGTTATATCAATCAGAAAAAAGAACGTATCACTGTGGCTATGTTTCACTGATAATGTGCGCGTATCCAAACACGGACGTTAGCATATGTCACACACTGGCATCAATGTCACAGCAAATCTAGTGAAGTACAACAGATGCATCCATTAGATATAATGGTAATACTATATGTCTGTAATTAAAACTTATTTAGGTTATTTCAGGTGTAAAAATTGTGATTGCAGGGTAGTGTGTATTGCAGGGTAACAGCTGTGTGTTCACATTCACAGAATTGTTGTATTGACAAAAGATACACAATATAACTATTTCATGAGTTCAATTTTGTTTTTAATTAACTGACACATATACAACGGCTGACAGGTATTTGAATTGTCATTTAAAATACCATTCACTACGTTTACATTCTAAATCATGCTTTCTCAGTCATGTTATGTAAATAAATGCCCAATCATTACTATTTGTTTTTAAAGTTGATATTTGTTGATAATGTCGGAGCGAATCATAGAAATCGTAAGTCACAGTCAATAAATAATATGCTTAATATCAAATTACCAGGCGTTCCAATAATAAATAGCAAGTGACGTCATATCCCCATCCAGTGTGAAGATTTTGTATTCTTAATCCTGCTTTCCTTTTGTAGGTTTCACAAGCAACAAAAACTTTACTATATCAATATGTTCACAGGCACTGGTCGTGACTGGATAGTTACACGAGTCAATATAATGTTTTGAACTGATGAAATGAGATATTTGCCGACTCGTGCACGCTCTATGTTAAAAAAAATGACACTTTCATTTTATTCATATCTTTTTCAACAAGTTGCATCACACTTTTGTCATAGTAAACAATATGATGTGATTATTTTCAGTCTGTATGCTAGGTTATTGATTAGGATATAAAACTGAACCAGTGATAATCTGTTGTCAATAAGGACGAACTGAGGACTGGTCCGCCGCGTTGCTTGTTTGAAGTGAATGTTTTTAGATCGCTTCAGTTATTTCACGTTAAAGGAAGACAAAATAAATGTATGGTCATTTTTCAAAGGATAGTTTAAAGACGGAACGGAATAAGAAAAATAAAGAAAACTCCAACGTGGATAATATAGTCGAGCGGAGAGACCTTTGGTCATCCCTTCATTCGGAATCATTGTCTTTGTCTGTCATTTTTGTATAGCCTCGAATCAAGGGGTCCCTCCTTCTGTGTCGTCGACTGTGTCGTTTACACAAATGATTTCGTGAGATAGCTCTTAAAGGGATGCTCTCATTCTAATGAAAATATTTGTAGCATCCATTTCCCTCCTGAATTTGATTTTACCCAAATCAGAATATCATCATAGCCGTCAGCAAATTTATTTTCATTATTTCAACACAGTCTCAGCTGACACATCAACTTCAATGGAACTTCGTTTCATATTTTTTTTAATAATTATCGAAATTATTTATACACGCATAGCAATCTCAATATGCATATTTCTCCAGGTGTTTCATGATGTCAAATTCATGTTTCGCTTCGTTCCAGTGTGTTAACGTTGTGTTTAAACTTTACAGGAGTTTGTAGAGGAAGTGAACTCCGTCCCACTTTGTACGCAATGTTCCCTCTACACTCTCATGTGGGTAAAACATGGCGGCAAAATAAGGACGATGAATGACTCGAGGAACCGGCGCAGCTTCCAATTGGTTGGTAACGTGCACGTGAACAACTCTGGAATGCGGACAATGTATGGAGATATCTTTCCTAATGTAAACTTCCACTTTAACGGGCGCGAGTTTCTGGCAACTACAAACTGGGTTAGTGTTTGACCTTGATTTGTGCTGTAACTATTGAATATAAACTATTTCCGGATTGAATAACTCACAACCCCTGATTTCAATTCATAAATAAATGTGATAATATCTTTCATACTTATGTTTTTATCTCCGAATATGGCCAGAACGATTTGTATATGGTATAAAAGTGTAATAAAATCTATATGAATATAAAATTTAACATAATTAATAAAAATTTAATATATTTGCTTTAGGACTTTCGAACATTTTTAGAATTTATCATCATTTATAATTAACTATATAAGAATTTCTTTTTAATTCCAATTATTTTCCTCTGTTCACATTTCTCGCAGAACAATGCTAAATCAGTTGTTTCTCTAAAAGCGGTGCCAAAGCTATTTTAGACAGTAACTTTGATTTCACCCTTTACTGCTTCCAACAATTATCAATTTCTGATCTCAATTCCAGAAGTTGTTCACAGACAGTGCCTTAATCGGCGGTCTTTTGATTTGAAGTTTACTTCTTATTCATATATTAACGAATCAAACAGTTTTATATAAATGTCTGGATATTAGGCATCAAGTTACTTTGACCTTACAGTGGCCTCCATTTATGGACCGATACGAGGTGAACGGTACTCGTGTGTACTTCGGCTTCTGTCAGGACCTATTGGATGAACTTGCCAGTCAACTCAACTTCACGTAAGAACACGTAGTCTATTGTAAAACATTAGAGCAGTGGTGTTTATGTTTTGGAGTAGGATTCATCAGTTTTGTCGGAAAAATACAGGCGAAGATTGTTTTGAACACAAAAAGAATTTGAAAACTTATTTTGTGAGCTTTCAAAAACGTCCTTTTTCTTTATCAAGCAGAGACTGTAAATGACCTGTGTGTCGACTCTAAACTGCTGACAACAACTCATTAGGCCACAATGTGCCGAATCAGTAAGACCAGCTGTTAGAAATCATAGACATTTCGCCAAACATAGGGACGGGTAACATGCTCTAAACTGTTTGTTTCAATTCCTGATTGTGTTCAAAACATACTTAACATTTTGTGGTTAATTGCCTTGTATAGTACGTCATATAATAATGAGAGGGCTTGGTCAACATCTAGGAAACGGATGAAATCACAAAGGGTTTGAGAAAGGTGAGTGATAACTTCATGTAGCGTAAGGGGCGTAATCCAGTTAAAGACATAGATTATTTCAGCTTCCATTTTAAGGCTCCTGATCCATACACTCAAAGTTAACGTGATTACCCTCCTGCCATAAATATTTCTAATTTTCATAAATAAGTTCGTGGTCAATAACAATAAAGTAAATACTCGTGTAATTGTAAGGGACGTATACTAAAATTAGGGTGCAATGTCAACTAATGTATAAAAGGACATAATGAATGTGTGGGTGTGTGGTCAACATACTATTAGGGCGTGGTCCATCTACAGACATTGTGGTAAGCTTTGCATAAGGGTCCTTACAAACATCAATGTATGGTAATATATTCAACCAAACCACTTACTTACTTCACTAAAAGACGTCAACATTTTGTGATGCAACTTATTCTGGTTGCTGCATAAATCGTTTACGATCTTTTACTTTCAAAAACCTTTTATTTCAGGATCTTCCATTTCACGGCCATTAACATCCCATCGCTCAATAGTAACACATCTGATTCCTCTTTATGTATCATGATTAATTTGCTTCTGGTTAGCATGCTCTGGGTATCTGTGTATTACCTAACCAGTATATATACCGCCTCGTGGACCTTCAATCGACTTTAAAGGAATGTTAGAGTCGTCGACATGACCTGATTTCTATCGACCAGATTCCATTGTCCGTCCTGATTAGTGGCTTGGTCGCCATGTTTAACATCATTAGTGGTTTTATTTTTTAGTCCGTTCAATGACGACGTTGTAGAGTTGTGTTTATATATAATTCCTCTAAGTTCGAGTAAAATGATAAGTTTCATACTAGGTACATAATGACGGAGCCTGCAGACAAGGAATGGGGGTTCGCGCTCGACAACGGAAGTTGGACGGGAATGATTGGAGAGTTACAGAGAGAGGTATGTCGCTCACAAGTAAAGTATAATGGTTCGCGACTAGATAGTAATGTACATAGTCGTATATTATCACATTTCTCACATGAAGTACTCGTATCCAAACAAAACTTATATCATCTATCACACATGATTACGTATCTCTTATCAACCTATATCTAGTGTCATTGATTTTATTCAATATGAAATTAAACAAATATTTCAGGAACAAGTTGTGAGGATGAAATTAGCATTGACAAGTGACATCCCTGTTACACATCGCTTTTTTGCCCTCCTAACATCGATTTCAAGTTCGAACGATGTTTTCTGAATTCATAATGTTTTTTGCTGTTTTCATTCTTATTTTCTAAAAACTCAGTAAAGTCATTTAATCAACAAGTATAAGGGGGAATAATTATGTCCTCTACAAAACAATATTATATGTTTTTAATTGGGGGGGGGGGGGGGGGGNTCCAAGGGAGTTATTCGCAAATGTAGAGTAAATAATCTCCTTTCGCCTATGCAGCTAAGAAACGCGTTATTCGATAACGCAGTCACAGAAGAAAACACTATCGGCTGGACATTTAATCTTAATGAGAACAAATGTGTTTCACTGCAAATTTACTGTCCTTAAAATTTTTCTGAAGTAAAAGAATGTCGATGAAAACAAGTATTTTGATTAAGAATCGATTATCTCCCTTAGACCACTGTAGCTTTTTCAACAATTAAATATACTTATTTCAGGTGGTGTGAATTATCTCGAAGTTCTACTTTGGCGAATCTCAATTAGAATGAAAATAATACGTAGATGAATAAAATTATGTTCAGTATTTTCAGTTTGTTTTATTATGTTGCTGTTCTCTGACCTGTCGCGATTCGACAATGACTTTCGGACAGACAGAGTGATACAAATATCAGGGGAAGTAGAACATATTTCAATGAAGTATAATTCATCTCCCCTTGTCCTATGTAGTGAAATGAATGTCATTCCAGGAGGTGGACTTAATGATAGCACCGGCATCTATCCAGGCGGGGCGGGAGATGGTGATGGACTTCACCCATCCATACTACTTTGATACGTCAACCATTTTGATGAAACGCCCCGATCCCAACAAAACTAAATGGCGGACTTTGATTGACCCATTTGCTGATATTGTGCACATGTGTATCTGGATCACTCTCTCACTTGCCGCTCTGATACTAACACTCCTGGAGAAAATCAACCCGTTCTACAGGCACCAGGACGAAGAACACCGAACGTATCAAAACACGTTCTGGTATATGTTTGGGGCACTTCTTACTCAAGGTACCTTACTGTATGGCATTCTGCTTTCTATTCGGAACATCCCTGAGTTGAGGTAATCATACCCGTTTCGTAATGTATTGCATTCCGGTTTATCTTCGGAATACCCCTTACTTAAGGTAATCAAAAAGGCAAATACCGGTTTGCCGACGTTGTGATGACACTGTACTGTTCATGGTGATATGAACTATGATGCTATCATATTAGAAATATATATGATCATGACAGTAAATTCGTTATATTGAAGTTGGACTGTAATTAGTTAAACCAATGAATATTATCTTTTGTAACTATACTTGGATAATATGAAAACACTCCATAGTTCATTTAGACTTTCATTGATTTCTAAGGTGGTGACCGTCTGCCGGAATCGCAGACCGGAAGGACGCTGATCAGTTTTTGGTGGCTGTTCTCAATCATAATGGTGGCCACCTACAGCGGCAATCTCATTGCCTTCCTCACGGTTGCTAAGGATAAACTTCCCTTCAACTCTCTGGCTGAACTTGTTGCACAGTCCGAGTATGGCTGGGGTACCTTAGGGGGGACATACTTCATCACCATGTTCAAGGTAATAGGTGACGTAGATATTAAAATTTAGGGTCAGGACAGGCGTTTGCAATTTAACATCTGAATATAGATATTTTGATTTAGCTATGTTTGAATAACACTTTTTCTCATAACTCTTACTCGAAAAATTGGTTAAGTAAACGTACATTGCCAATGCAATAAAAAATATTACAGATATCATAATAGATAGTATAGGTAAGATATGAAGGTATTTCAATTCTACAAAGTAACAGTGAAAACAAAAAGGATTGTAAAAATAATTGGAGCTTTATCTTAGACTACAATGATATCCACATGAACTCTTCTTTGACAACATTGCTACTGAACATGAACTCTTCTTTGACAACATTGCATCTGAACATGAACTCTTCTTTGACAACATCGCTACTGAACATGAACTCTTCTTTAACAACATCGCTACTGAACATGAACTGTTATTAGACTAGATCGCTACTTAACATGAACTTTGGACAACATCGCTACTAACAGTTCTTTGATTGCATCACTATTGATTATGAACATATCTTTGTGAATATCTCTACTGATCATGAACACATCTTTGTGTTCATCTCTACTGATTATGAACACATCTTTGTGTATATCTCTACTGATCATGAACACATCTTTGTGTATATCTCTACTGATCATGAACACATCTTTGTGTATATCTCTACTGATCATGAACACATCTTTGTGCATATCTCTACAGATGATGAACACATTTTTGTGTACATTTCTACTGATTATGAACACATCTTTGTGTATATCTCTACTGATCATGAACACATCTTTGTGTACATCTCTACTGATCATGAACACATCTTTGTGTATATCTCTACTGATTATGAACACATCTTTGTGTATATCTCTACTGATCATGAACACATCTTTGTGTACATCTCTACTGATCATGAACACATCTTTGTGAATATCTCTACAGAGGTTGAACACATCTTTGTGTATATCTCTACTGATCATGAACACATCTTTGTATATATCGCTACTGATCATGATATTTTTTTTCCATTACATAGCCTCTGACCATGAAATTGCCTGTCGTCAGATCTCTTATTAAACTCAATATTTTATTAAACAAACTTTGACATCTTTATATAATAACTTTTCAATTCACATGTATATGATTTCGGCAAAACAGCAGTATTAGAGCGTGTTTTGTTGTTGTTGTTTTTTGCTGTTTCTGAAAAATGGTTGTGATTTTATTTCCTGTTAGTCCACCTTTAATATGCATTTCTATATTGCTACAAGGATTCGACATTACCAGTCTATCTAAAGGTCTGGGATGGTGTCGTGAAAGCTAATGCGTCCGACCCCCGGGCTCTCTCGCCCGACCCTGCCATCCATATCCAGAAGATTTTACAGGAGGACTATGTCTACTTCGGCGACAAAGTTGTCATGGACATGCGGAGAGTGAACGACTGTCGCTTGACAACTGTTGGCGAAGAAATTCCAAATATGTCGTATGGTGTTGGTTTACCAAATCACTCGCCTTACACCAACATATTCTCCAATAAGTAAGTATAGATTCCCTTACTGTCTCATTAGCCAAAGGTTTTCGTAGTAATGAGTCCATTTCCTTACCCTGCTGAAAAGGCCTTCAATAGCTTATTGCAAATACAAATTATAGTTTAATGTCGTACATCATTGTGTACATTTACGTCTCTAATAAATGAGCTGAGATTGCGCAGCCCTTTCCTATCATTTGAATAGTCTCTACAAACAAAGTCAATCTCGCATCAGTCTGTCAGACATAAAAATCGTCTCCTACATCAAAGTAAACCTTAACAGTCTCCTGTCAAAAAGAAGGGGCTTAATGAGTTTGTGCCAAAATATTTCCAGTAAATACGTTTAGATTGCAAAATAGTTTTCTTTAGTAAAACAAAATACCACTGCCCTTCGCTTAAACGTTCTCAAATCATAATGAGTTACTGTACCTGCTGTTCCCCAGATATATAAACCTGTAATATGATATGTTCCGAGATTAACAAAATCTGCCTGCCTTGCTTGCAGTAATGCAAACATCTAGTTAAAGCATTCCTGCAAATACGAGTTTGATTTCCGTTATATTAATTGGAGTTATATATCGTATTACTACCGTGCAATGCAGTGAATACACCGATTCTTTTTCATTCTTTATATGTTGGAATGATATGCAAAGACATAATTGAAAGCTGTTGAAAACGACCTATTAAAACCATGTTTTAAACTCGATTCCCCTTAACCCGTATAACATGCCAAATGGACTCGCTGTATACCATGCAATGAACGTAAGATTTCCTCATGTATATAGTTTTATTTCCATGTTTTCAGCTGGGAAAAAAATGAAAAATGGTGTTTTTCTTTTCAATTGTTTTTCTTCAGTTTTATAATTTGGCTGGATGCACATCCTCATCGAAATGACTCTTTTTTAAAACGCAATTAAAAGAATTATTTAATGATTTTCAGATATTTTATTTTTATACTACGTGGTAGGCACCTGACAACACTATAGAAATACATATAATTTTCCATGTTTTTTTCTTCAGAATATTGGAATTACTTGAGAGTGGAATATTTTCCATATACACACACAGACATTGGCCAAAAGTGAATTATTGTAAGGAAACAATACAGGCGAGTGCCAAGGAGATATCGCTTATAGACGTACATAGTGCCTTCATTTTGATTGGGATAGGAATAGCATTCGCTTCCCTGGTCCTGTTGTGTGAGTTTCTGATGAGGTATCGGTTCAAACTATTTAGCTGTTTGATATCACAAAGTATCAAAGACCGCCATGTTGCTAATAAGAAATTCCGTGATTGTCAAACTTTGTATATCGACGGGAGACAGAAACCGGAACCGGAAACGTCAGAACGACGAAGATCCGTGGCGATGAAGTCAGAAGAAAGAGGCAGTAACGTAAACAAATTAGATAATAAGAGAACTTTAGAAACAAACGATAAACAGGACCTAAGTTGACTGAATGGACAGTCGGAAAGATGTCTTGTATTTTACTCATTGATAATCATTTTATATTCCGTCCGATTATAAACTGCCTATTTCGATTGATGTTACTTGTTTTACCAACATCTTGTAACATTGTGTCTTTTATCGGTTGTCGTGTATCATTTATCAGGCTGTCCAATGCACCATGGGCATCTTCTCGGTCACTTTAACATTTGGTTGATAAATATGTAACGAATTAACATTTAACTACCTTGTGTATTGAATTATATATAGCAATAGCTCTAAACAAACAGCGATGATATGTTTCAATAGTATCTAGTGTACTGCCGTTCAAACAGGCGGTACACTCGATTAGATGTAGCCTTATATCTGGTTACGTACCACGGACGAAGTCGGCGTAGTGGTACAGAGGATGAAAACCCTAATAACGGGATCGGTAATGGTATAGTGTTTTTTTCACAAGTGTCTTTCCATTGGTAGCTGAACGTTAATTGAAAGAATTAGGAAGGACGAAAGTTAACCCGTACCCATATAGGGATTTAACATAAGCATCAACCCGCAATATAAATCAAGGTCAAAGCCAAGTAGTGTCACGTCTTAAAATGGAGAACCGTAGTAGTGACAGCGGAACAACAAGGTGCAGTTATGAGCATAATCAAAAAGATCGGCCCTCATATTACACAAGGACATATCATGTTTGATGTCATGATGGCAAACATAAAACTTCATCCTGGATCTCTCAAAACAATGTGTAATACTGTTGTAAGTGTTTCTGTCTGAAGCCAATACTTATCACTGAAACCATGATATTCGAAGCAAGCTCTTTGATACTGATTCAACTGTAGCATAAAAACACCAGATGTTGGGTAAACATGTAGGCTATTATCAAGAAAGGGAAAGTTCATAACTGGAAAAAGAAATTGTCACGCTTATCGTACCACTTATTTCAATTTTAGATTATTTATGATTGAATGGTTAATACATTTCTGACTACACAATAAAGACTGCCATTGTCACTTTATAAAGGTAGGTTGACAACCTACAATAATTTTTATCAACTTTGTGATAAGTTTCATGTTTTGTTAACAATAAAAATCTACTTACCATGTTCATGTCTATCAATATGACGTTGTTGATATCAACATAACAGTAAGTTTATATTTGATAATCAGTAACTAATCATTTTGAAAATTAAGCTTGTTGAATATATATATACGTATCTACATTTGATGAGTCAATAAAGAAAATTGAGATAGGGGACTGAATGTTGACTCGCACAAGTCGAAATAATTTGAATCCCTCATTGGAAAATAAGTAACGGCTTATCAGACGGCTAGCTTTAGACTGGTAAAAAATAGCAACCTATTTGCCTTTTTATTTGATATATCAAAAATCAGACAAATCATAAAAATGATACAAATCAAAGATTTGTTAACATCATATGAATAAAATATTTTGAAAGTTTTAAGACAATCGCTTTCGTGCCATGTGTGTAGTTCTATAACGACTGCGTGTGATAACTGATTCGTTCCCCACTGGTTTGTACTGTGTCCTTTCATGTTATATTTCTATATCGTATAATTATATAATATGTTAATAATAGATAAATATAAAAACGATTATTCCTGATAATTATAAACAAGAGTCAAAATCACATCAGAAATTGAAATCTGGTAAAAGTTATCTTCTCATTTCAGGTATGCATCCATCTTAGATATCTTGCAATGTATTATACATTATTAGTTGTCCGATACTTGAGCATACAGAAACAAAATATTAAAAATAAAAGCGAAAACATCCTGGATCGATCCCCGGACCTAATGTATTGCTGCCTATCCGAACTCTACCTATGCTGTTGTGCAGGAATTGTTATTTGTTATATCATGGGCAGTAAAGATCTAAAAGTATTAACGAACAATAATTTATTGAATGAGCTTTACTGTAATAAATGACGATTTCATTATTTTTCCCCTTTCGGGACATTCTCACTTATCATTCTTAACTGCGAATCTTGCCTAATGTTAAGCGTCATGGTGAATGAGTTACCTCCCATTTGTTATTCCAAATATTGTTTTAACATGATTGATCATTGCGAATGAAAAGAAAACTATACTCTATCATCGAAATCTAAATTCCACATGGCCATTATTTAGTATACAGTATAATAGATATAGCACAGCGTCACTAGCATGGGCTTGCTTTGGTTTTTTACTTTCTCTATATGAACAATAGACATGCCGTTATTACTTTATTCAGTTATATAGAGTAACGCTTTGTTATATTTAAAAGTAAATTTGGTTTAAAATATCAACAGAAAATGCCTTAGTCAAAAGCAGTAATGATATCCATAAGGTATGATTGGCGTAAATGGCGTGGAAGCAGTCAGGGACGAGACGCTGAGATACTGACTCGCTTTATAAAAATAAATTAAACCTGTAGTAATCGTCTAAAACAATGTGTTTAATACACAACTTAAACAATAAACTACGATAATGAAAACATCTGTTTATGCATGTAGGACTTGTTTGCTGTTCTCTGAATCACAACTGACTTGATTTTTGGGAAATGATGGGAGGCATTACGACGGATGACACGTGAGGTGCAAAAAACGGTTACTGTTAATGAACGTTGGGTTTCACCAACACTGCTGTTGTTTATGGGTCCTTCATATTGCGTTGATGTGTCTGTGGTTCCTTCTGTTGGCATTTATCCTTAACTCACTATGTAACTTAGTACACCCTACCATGCATTCATCTGGATAAGTCCACAGGTCTGTAGAGATGCAAGAGATGATACGTTTTTGCCCTAATGTGTTCCTATTGTGCTACATTTCGGTTTTTTATGTGTTGATGCTGTGGTACATTTCAACTTTTTATGTCAAAACTATAGTATATTTAGCTATGTGTTGACATATTAGTTATTTTTCTGTCTTCTTTTGTATTAATGGTATGGTATATTTTGACCATGCTTTTGGCGCTTTGGTATCATTTTTCTGTTATGTAGGCACTGGGTGTTGTTATGTCTTTGTATTCTGGCGCCGTGGTATACTTTGACCTTTTTTTATTCATTATGTGTTATATTACTTTCTAGACATGGACGCTACAAAAGTTACATAATACTAAGTAATTCCATAAAAAGTGTGTCGATATATGTTGCCTGAAATATCCTCATGTTCAACATAAACAAAGCAAGAACAAAACACAACTGATAGCAAGATGATAAATCGCTGATTTTTATATAAAAGATGAATATCAAACACACTTCGAAATGAATTATTTGATGTACGGTATAAAGAACATGGAACATTGGATCACACTAGATAGCCAATGAAAATACAGACATGCTAACGGCTGTGCCGGTTTATGTCGCCCTACAACATGGGTAGACATTCTGTTGAGATTTGATTTGTATTTGCATTACTAAACTTTGATAAAAAAATACCTTTGTTTAAAAATGTTTTTGTTTTTTTTTATATAATTAGGAATAAGATGAATCGGTTTGATATGAATAATAAAGACTAAGACTGTTTTTAAAACCAGCAAGAAATGGAAATTAACTTTTAATGAAAGCTTTTTCACTTTCGAAGGCCTGTTTTCCTTTGTCAAGCACAGAGTGTAACATGACCGATGTATTGACTTTTTACACTCTTTGATTGATAAGCTCGAAGCATAAGTTTTCAGTTTCTGTTTGTGTTCCAAAAACAAAAAGCCTTTATGACTTTTTATGATGTCTATATCAATAAAATATATCTTATGATATATTCAACAAAATAGGTTTCTTTTTCTTTTTCACTTGACAAGTTCAAATTTCGTTAAGCATTGCAAGTTACATAATCGTAACTAGAATTGCAAGTTAATATTGAAAATATTTTCACGTAATTAATCTTTTTCAACTAAAGTAAACATTTTCAATCAAAAGATTTAACATAAAATTTCAATCGAGATGACATTTGATTGTGGAATCTTAACAAACGTTCAAAATCTCAAAACAGCCTATCGTATTAACAAAGTACTCTCATGCATCAAGACAGGTAAGCTCTTTGCACCTAATTGGTACAGGTATGGGGTTTGATTTATAAAGTTTCGTTTTTTTAAAGAAAAATATTACTTAATTCAATTAACACAATACATCTCCAGCACACACATAGGCATACACACATAGGGAGATATTAGCCAGGTGGCATAGGACTAGTAGTTAGCGCCTGATATATATATTGTATTGATTAATATATATGCTAATTGTATTGACTGTATAAAATTGTATATCTATGTACTGTAAAGCGCTTTAGAGTGGCTTATGTTAGCTAGATAGGGCGCTACATCAAATGTTGTATATTTATTTTAAGCCATCAATCTGCTGCAAACAAGTCCCTGTAAAATGTAATAAAGATCCTATTTTTTCTTAAACTTTTGTACAAAAAGAAACAAAATTGCAGAAAAAGCAATACCAGGGAAAATAACGAAGTGACCAAATGAATTGAATCACCTGCGATTTCTCAATGAAAATCTAATGATATGTGATTGTCAACAGCAAAGGAAATAGCTGAATAAGAAGAACATCTTCTATCATATCTGATAAGATATTAATTAAATGATTACAAAATCTTGAAATTAACTTTTGCTAGAATTGTTCCGATTTTTAAAAAGAATCCGCTCCTCTTTCCCAAAGGCGAAAAGACCGCAAATATAATCAGGCCGACTTTTATTCGCACACAGCTTACTATACATGGTGAATTACATACCGGCAGATCATAGATTATACTGGCGAATGTTGATGTTTTCATTGAGCAAAACATTGTTGACAAATAATGAATAACACATCAAAGAGAGGATTTTAAACTCATCCAGAATGTTGGAAATCAAGCGTTATACATTCACTGAGAACGTTATTTCCTGAGAACGTGTTGTTTGTATAGATGTCGCTCACAACTTATTCACTGATATTTATATACATATGTACAAATACTCTCACACGCTTTGGCTATATCAAATTTTCTGTAATCTGCATTTCACACAAGATATTAATATGTATGGAAGTTTTTGACTTTCATTTAGTATACGAGCATTCGTTCTTTCCAACAATCTTATCTCGTGTATTATGATATCATTATACATGTCATTAGTACTCCCACCAGACTTATGTACAATTAATCATTTATTGTGGATCCTGCCTCTGTGCTATTTGTATTTGAAATGGTTTGCTGAAACTGAATGACGTCAACATGGAAGGATTAGGTAGTTTAGCGATTTAGTGTACATCCTACCGTATCCAGGTAACATGACTACTTTTGTTGTTCTTTATTCATTTCATCTTTTGCTATCCAGTTAAGGTCAGCAATTCTCACAAATCTATATCGTGTGGTGCTAAAATATCTCTCATGAGCCAGAAAGAATTAGCCAAACATTAATCCAAATATTAAGAGGTTGTATTCAAACAATCTAAAAGTTTACACATGAACCACTATAAGATTTAGACATATTATTCTCCTGTTCAAATCATGTTCTGGACCAAAATCATACAGAAAGCAAACACACTGGCAAAAGACACTCTTTGGTAAACGGGAAAAAGTCCAGATGATCTACGTTCTATTTCTAATGGGGGCTGTCACGATATGTATATATGTTACATGGGCCTCATTATCAACTTGTTAAATGCCATTACTGTTTTGCTCCTTTTCCTTTGCTTTCTTTTCTTTTCTCTCCGTTTTTTTCTTCTTGAACGCTGATTGGATGTTTTCAATACCCATGACTATCGACGCCAATGTCAAACCAATGCCTATTAAGTAGAATGCACTTTGCACGTCCACCAATGTAATAGCTTTGGCTGACGTAATCAACTCATTGGCACACACATTAGTCCGCGGCCACCGCCGACTCTTCCAAATGTTTATTAGTCCACTTTCGTGAATTTCGATGATTCTGTAATTTAAAAAAAAAAATGTGTGATTTTGAGCACGAATATGGTAAATTTATATCTTTTGTAAGAAAATAAAAAATCACACCTTTACATTTTTTTATCAAAACTAACAACAATAAAACACTTTGAAATCATTCACAAGGGAAAATCAATCCAACAGTATTATGCGGACGCACCGTGTAACATGATACCGGATGCTGTCAGATTGCCCGTATGACAGTTGACATATACTCCGTATATCACATCGATATACCAGACGGCACCTATAGTCCTTAATGACATCTGCTAATAGTTGTAACTCGCATTACACTATCGTGTAATGTTTGTACGATTGACATTGGTTTTATTTACGCGTGGGAAAATTAGAATAAAGATCAAAGTAACATGCCGCCATGTAATTATAGTGTCCACATCACAGGACACTGGCGCGAAATCAGGCATGATGGCGACACAGAACAATCACACCTTCTATCTAAATTAATATGAAATGATTAAATGTAAATATCTGATATCATAATAACCCGGAAATTGTATTATCTGGACAGCTTTATGCAGAATGAGTATTGATCTACAGAGGGACACTATAGGGGACAGAGTCAATACAGTACAATTCAATCCTACAAGCCTGTATCAACAATCTCAGTGTTATGTGTGTCGTTCCCTTTAATTACAACTGTTGATAGATGGACTCGAATCGTCGCTCTACGATTTGTTTTCCAAGCCATTTTGATGTTATGACCGTTGAAAGAGGGTTGGCATATAAAGTAGGGGACTAGGATGATGATAAGACTGATGAAAATTGACGGAATATTCCGGCACCCAAAAACAATATGTATCTTTATTTTGGCGCATCAGGAGGTATATTATTGGGGGGTTTTCTGTTCCATATTTTGTTTTAATTATCAATTTGATATCATACATTGGGACACCGCCTTATGATCCGAAATTTATAGGAATCTCTGTCGAAAACTTAGATCTCAGCTGTTGGTCGTCCTTGTGTGTAGGCTGTATGATCAAATTTAATATATCAGCTATTTTATGTTCGGGTTTTTCTTAATTGAACTTAAAGGCGAAGCTCACACAGTGTTTACCTTACAAACGAAAATATCTTTGAATCTCACACAAACCAATCGGAAGTCAAGTGCTTAATTTGTAACGACATCAAATATATGAACTTATGAGTGTGACTGATCAGTTGAGATAAAATCACTTAAAATGAGTCACTATATTATCACTTTACAAACATATTCCTGTAAAAATGACATTACAAGAAATAAACATGTACTACTCTAGATGCCCTTTTGCAATATAAAGAAGAAGCAACGTTATGTTCTTTATGGTCGAGGAGAAAAGAAGTTCAGAAAAAAGTCGTAGGTACGTTTATGTGATTGTAACTATACAATTTGGAAATAAATACAGCATGCCAAGAACATGAATTACACTATGAATTACTGTAAAATAAATACAGTATGCCAAGAACAAGAATTACACTATGAATTATTGTAAAATAATTACAGCATGCCAAGAACATGAATTACACTATGAATTACTGTAAAATAATAACAGCACGACAAGAACAAGAATTACACTATGAATTACTGTAAAATAATTACAGTATGCCAAGAACAAGAATTACACTATGAATTACTGTAAAATAATAACAGTTTGCCAAGAACATGAATTTTACTTTGAATTACTGTAAAATGAACATGAATTACTCTATGAATTACTGTAAAATAATAACAGTATGTCAGGAACATGAATTACACTATGAATTATTGTAAAATAATTACAGTATGCCAAGAACATGAATTACACTATGAATTACTGTAAATTAATTACAGTATACCAGGAACTTGCATTACACTATGAATAACTGTAAAATAAATATAGTATGTCAAGAACATGAATTACACTATGATTTACTGTAAAATAAATACAGTATGCCAGGAACTTGAATTACACTATGATTAACTGTAAAATAATTATAGTATGTCAAGAACATGAATTACACTATGATTTACTGTAAAATAAATACAGTATGCCAAGAACATGAATTACACTTTGAATTGCTGTAAATAAATAGAAAAAACACTCCAACATCTCCGTTCACATCAAAATGAGGTGATTACGAGTGTAAAATAGATTCTGTTAATAGGTATTAATGACTATATGAACCAGTTTCTATGACCTCTGTCGTTACTTACTCTCGTGATATTAGGTCTGTGTAGGGCGAGAGATTAGGAAGACCAAACGCGTACTGGAAAGGCAACACCTCCTCTTTGCCCGTGCGGAGTGTGCATTCGTTCGCCATTTTGATCTCTATTTGTGTCTTGTCCCCCAGATAGGCGTAATTGCTATCTAAGACTTTCTGTATGTGGACGTCGGGGTCCGTACTAAGGACACTGGGGTCGGAAGCGTTAAAACGTTCGATACCCTGCCACACCGCCTTAAACTCTGGTAATACAGAGTGCTGAAACAAAACATTGATTTATGTTAACAATTCTATAGTGATATAAACTCGAGAAGACGTGGAAGATTGGGCTATTTTTTCAAGATTGATGCAAACTATCTTTGGATTTTGTTAATGAAAGAATTATATCACAATTGACGAAAACACTTAGTATATGTTATTTAAACGAGCATTCTATGGAGATTGAAGTTAGTAACTGAAAGTCGTGTGTTTTACGACGCTTTGGGTCTTTTAATGGCACTTACAGCCATCAAATTTAAGTGTTTATTGAACATCTTGACGACAGAAAATGTTTGAACAAAAAAGAATGTGTATATCAGATATTTTTTAAATGATAACCCTTTTCCTAGTGTTCCTGTGGAGCTATTCATTTGAGCGTTTTTTCATAAATCTACAGTATAAATGCATCCTTTTTAAAAAAAAAAACAATGCAAGCAACCTTTATAAATATAGAACTAAAACTTTATATATTTTGATCGTATTGGAAAGCTAAATATTCATGAAGAAGTTATGTATAGATTATATCTACCATTTTAGTACAGTCATGGTTTATGAATGTTTATGTGAAAAACATACCCACATGTTACATGAATTCTCCATTTTTGTATTTCTTTACAGTCTAATGTTTTAAAAGATAATCAATTAATTCAAACATTTTTACGTATGCAAAGTTTCTTTGTAGTTCCCTACCTTGAATATGGTTACCCAGTAACTTCCCCCTATAAGGCCCCATTTATAATCGTCTTTTTGTAACATCTCGTTGACCGTGTTAAAAGGTAGTTTGTCTTTCGAGACGGTCAGATAAGCTATGAGATTGCCACTGTAGGACGCCATCATGACCAGACAAAACAGCCACCAACAACTCAAGAGGGTCCGACCGGTCTGTGAATGTGGCAGACGATCACCACCTACAATGGAAATAATATTGTTGACAACAAAAATCCTGTATATCTTCGAAAACATAGGTCGGAACGAAAAAGCCCATTTTTGTGACATCAACTAGACTGAAAAAAAATGTGACAGCCTCATATGACTCCTACAGGGATCGTGTCAATTTATTATGCTTTGCTCTACACAAATCCAGATTGGTTCGCTTCAAGCTGAAATTGAGTTTCTACTTTAAAATTTTGTCAAACTCATCTTCAACCGGACACCAAATGTTTATATTTTTCCAGAAATAATTGTTTTACTATCTCATTAGTCGAATGGTCAAGGTCATTTTTAAAATCATCAGAACAGTACGATAATACAAATGACATTACATGTGCCACAAAAAAAGGTCTGGCACCATTATACGTTCAGGCACTTTGACAGAACCACAACAATTTCACAAAAAAAACCATCCTACCTGGAATCAGTTTGGAAGGAAGACAATACCTTGTGTGAGTAAAGCCCCGTAGAGGTACCAAAAAGAATCTTGGAAGCTTTTAAGACTTTTGTCCTCCAGGAAGTTGACTTCGTCGCAGTAGTACGGACTGAGTCTTTCAAAAATACAGAGTAAGAATGATATCGCCGCAAGTGCACAGCCGATCAGCAGTAACACCGTGTCGTCAAACGGGTCTATAAGCGTCCGCCATTTTGTCTTCATGGGGTCCTCCTTTGTGATGAGGATGATTGTACTGTCATAGAAATATGGGTAGGTGAAGTCGATCACCTCCTCTCGTCGGCTGTGTACGTTCAGAGATGCAACCACCAGGTCTATTTCCTGTTAAACAGGTAACACACGGGTATGTCTGGAGGGTTTTGCTTAACAAAAGTCATAAATTATGTCGATATGCATCTGAGTGCTATAAATAACCGCTTACATCCTTCAAAACGTGCCCCTTTTGTGTCTCTTCCGAAAAATTTGATAACAGAAACATATATCAATACAAAACATAAGGCAATACCCTACGACATCACCAGGTCACACTTATCAGTGCTGTTTTTGACCTATATGTACCAGATATTATGTTCATCCATACTGAAATAAGGAGCAAATTTCGAGTTTCGTGTACGTATAAGACAGTGTAATTATTCGACCATGGAACAGCTTTTATTTGATATTAATAGGCAATATGAATGCCAACTAAACAAAGGCAAAATCAACGAAGCGCACTATTGCTTCTTGTTGTATTTGCCTTTGTCCACTTGTCATTCCATTTTTGGAATGTGTTTATCTCAGAGAAAATTCAATTACACTGGTTAGTATTCAACATTTAGTTCAGATAATTTATTTATCATATATGCTTGATCAATAAATAGAACAGCCATCTGTCCATGGAGGATCAGCGGTATCCAACGTAGCAATTCTGACTTCATAATAATGATGGCGTAAACAGTCGGATCATGGCGTTCATAACCTATAAGGCTACTTGTTAATGTGGTAGGGTCTTTTATTGGCAATGCAATACGATGGTAAACATGAAGTAGGTATAGCATATCTTGCCGTGTTTGTAAAGCGATTTCATGTATAAGTTATGACTTAAATCGCTATATAGGATGAAACTACACTAATACCTTTCTCTGTAACATCCCGACAACACCACTCCAGCTTCCGTTATCGAGTTCCAGTCCCCAGTCACCATCCGGGGGCTCCATGACGTCATATCTGCGGAAATATCATAATGCTGGAAACACTTTTTCTCTTTTTTTCCCTTTTCAAATATTTTATTTAAATATTGACATTGTCTTGTTGTAATACTTTGACTTGTTGCAATACATTGTCTTGTTGTAATACATTGGCTTGTTGTAATACATTGGCTTGTTGTAATACTTTGACTTGTTGTAATACATTGTCTTGTTGTAATACATTGGCTTGTTGTAATACTTTGACTTGTTGCAATACATTGTCTTGTTGTAATACTTTGACTTGTAATACATTGTCTTGTTGTAATACATTGTCTTGTTGTAACACATTGGCTTGTTGTAATACTTTGACTTGTTGCAATACATTGTCTTGTTGTAATACATTGTCTTGTTGTAATACATTGGCTTGCTATAGAATAATAAAAACACTTAAAACACGGCACGCGTTGGTTGTTTATTGTTCCATTTGATGAAGAGTCAGAGGGAGATAATTCGGAAACAGTAGGGTGATAGAACAACCTTAGTCAGCGGAAACATGATATGTTCTTTAATTATGTACTCACGTAAAATTAAATCTGGTCGCTATTTCATTGAAAATATCAAAGCACAATCCTTCATATGAGTTGTTCCCATTCTTTATGACGAAAGGTGACCACTGCAAGTATAATGTACATAACAGGTCAAAATAAGCGGAATATGATATACATTACCAAAATGAATGCTAATTACCTATCTATCTGTCCGTGATGAAACAGAACGCTAAAAGTAGCCTAAAATGTTTCCGTTCAAAACAATTATCAAACAAACATAATGAATATAAAAGAAAAATAATTACATTTGAACACTAATATCTGTTTGTGTATTATCATATTCGTGAAAATCAGTATTCGTGACAATCAGAACAACTATTGACGAGAACCTTGCATCTGACCTAGTCAACAATACCTGGAGAGTGGCGACCTTAAAATTTCTTCCGTTCCATCCATAGTTCCTGTTCGGGAAAAAAGTTGACAACTCGTAGATTCTTCCATTGTCGTCGATAAATCCGACGACATCAAGTCCCCGGGGGCCGGGATTGATCCACATCAGTGTCGATATAGGAATCCAGTGACACGTTCTAGTTCCCTGTACCTGTCAAGTTATACAAATAATTACTTTAAAATGGGGGCGCTTGTATGAAATTGATAATTTGACCTAGTTATTTTATTCCTCTGTGATTTGCTCCGAAATACCGCCATTAATAAGGAATATCAATCGTTCTATGTTGATTTGTCGTTATAACGTCACCGCCGGAGACCAATCACGTGCTCTCCTTCCCAGTACCCGTCATGGCAAGTTAAACACGAATTTACATTTAAATGGGGGCGTAAAGAGGAGTTGATATCTTAACCTACCTTTTTTTATTCCTCAAGGATTTGCTCGAAATACAACGATAACTCATGAATATCAATCACGCAATTTTACTTGGTAGCTTGTAACTACACAACAGTACTATGTAAAAACAGAACTCAACTGAACTTATGTTGTTGCATATGATATGACTGACAGGAGTAGACACTTGACCTAAATGCCTGTCACTTTCGGCCTTCTTATCAGAGTAAAAACCAACTGATTTTATATAAAAAAAAAAAGCAATTAATATTGAAACCAATTTTATAAATATCTAACAAACATTCGTATTTTCAATATCTTTATCATGTAAAATTGGTTATCATTATTATAACATGAGGGGCTATTCAAAAGAGTGTAGCTTGTTCTTTAATTATAGTGATATTGACTTCCAAATCAAATAGAAGATGTGCGCGATGGAATACCGTGAACCTTATAACTATGTAGATTTTTTTGTTAAACAATCTTATCGTCATTGGCTTTACCATTTGCACATTTACGCTTAAAATGGTGTCGTTATTCTCACAATAGTTTTTCGTAACTCTGTATTTATATGTTTATGACGGACTACCCCCTTGGGGTGAGAAAGGGGAATCTCAACCCGAGGGGGAAGATTCTTAAGTTGCCAAACACAAGGGTTTGCCGAGTGTTTGGCAACTTAAGAATCTTTCCCCGATGGTTGAGATTCCCCTATCGCACCCACAAGGGGTTTAATGATTCGTTTTCTCTTCCCCTGTTCTCCCATTGTGTATCATATTCACGATTTAATGATAACGTTACATGCTAAATTCAGGGTTGGTGTGGCGTTGATTGATTGTTGACGTGACGTCACTATTGTTGAAGTGACGTCATACCATTGTTATGAAAAGGGCAATCTCCACGTCTCAACCCTAGGTGAGACTTATAAAACTATTACCTGTAACTGAGCGAGATCGGGTTTTCTCTTACCCTGAACAGGTGTATCCGCACTTTTACCGGTGTGAGATTTCCTTGTCTCACCCTAGGGTTGAGACGGGGGGATTCCCCTTTTCATAACAATGGCATAACGTCACTTCAACAATTCAATGACGTAACGTCAACAATCCATCAACGTCACGTCAACCCTGAATTTAGCATGTAACGTTATCATTACATTGTGTATATGATACGCAATGGTAGACCAGGGTAAGAGAAAAAGAATCATTCATCCCCTTGTGGGTGAGATAGGGGAATCTCAACCCTCGGGAAAAGATTCTTAAGTTGCCAAACACTCGGAAAAGCCTCGTGTTTGGCAACTTAAGAATCATCCCCCTCGGGCTGAGATTCTCCAATCTCACCCCCAAGGGGGTGAAAGATGCTATTAATCTCAGTCGAGGGTTACGATTCTGTAACAAAATTCCAACCGAGGCATAAGCGGAGATTGGGATGTTACAGAAACCTAGCCCGAAACTGAGATAACCCGATCTCGCTCAGCAACAGGCAAATTTTTTTTCTCGCACTTTTTAGTTCGAAAACAAAAATCAATTTTGCTAAAAACTACAAGTATCCCGCCTTGGGCCTCAAATGATAATGACCTCTTCACTACTTAAGCTACATGTGAATGCCTCCGCGTAAAAGCGTAGTCCGTCCTTACATAGATTACAACGTATTTCACAGTGTAGATTATATTTACAAATCAAATATCTAACAACATCAAAACTATACATAAAACGACAAAACAGAACATTTATAATGCAAATTGTCAACTTCAAGCAGTTAACGCGCGGATAAAAATTCCGCGAAATGGCACGTAAAGATACCAGACGGAGTGCGGATACACATGTCCAGGATAAGAAAAAAACTTCTTCTCATACTGTCAACAAAAGATAATTGATTTATCACGCTACCGGTATAAGTAGTATATAGATGATAAAGCTGTTTCTTGTTCTATCGTGAACGCTAATTGAAAGTGTTCATTCAGCAAAATCAACCTTTCTGTCCCGTATGACATTTATTGTATGTTTTGACGAAGAGTTGTTATTTCGGTCTCTGCTGTTTTGATATATGATAGGAGTGTTCCAGAAAGGGGTTCCTCTGGCATTCCTAGAGAACTTGCCGAACCTCAAAACTACTCAAATAGGCCAACATTGCATTACTATTGCTCTGACGCAATAGTTACAACACGTTTTAGTATTTGCGAGTATAAACCTTTGAGAGAAACGAGTAGTGGTATATATGACATACCTGCTGAACGTGTGTGAGGACTTGTGACGTCATCATGTCCTTCATGTTGGAATTGGGTGTTTCAAAATATGTGATGTCTTTGAGTATACTATCCAACAATAGCTCAAAGTCCTGCAACAACAAACAGATTACTGTAAAACCTCCATAATCCAGGACACGGGGATAGCATTGCAATAAGTTAATTATCGCTTTAAAACGGCTCTTCATAAATAAAGTATATCCTTCATTAATGTAATGTGTCCTCGTTAAAACGCTTAAAATACCTCAGGAATACAAACGTTTAACAAACAATTTGCGAAATTCAGTTATTTCTTGAAAGATTTCCGTACAATGAAAATTCATATTACAGGGTTCCTGCGATATTTTACAAGGGATTGGTCGTATATATTACAGAGACATTAAACAGTTTTTCGATAACACCTTTTCATAAGTCGAGCACCTCCTCTAGACCCAATCAATTCAAGTTCGATAAACATAGTCCATGTATACATACGTTGAAACTGGTTTCCATCGTAGCTAACTGTTGTGGAAAAGCTATAAATATCATGTTATCAATTGTTAGGTTGAGATGTTTTGTAAAATGCAGCTCATTTTCGGCAAGGGAGATAACCATCATATCAGAAAAATGACGAAGAGCGCTGGTCCTTAGATGAACTTGGTCGTAAGAATCCATCTAAAAATCGAAAAAAAAATAGGCAATATATTTATTAATCTCTCACAAATTATCCAGAAATCAATATAATTTTAAAATGATTTACTATACCAAAATACTACTTAAAAGTGCTTTGAAACATTATCCTTGTATATTACCTATTACAGCAGGAATATCACTATTTTATATTAGCTGCCCTAGCGGTGGCATGCTTCTTAGTGGATTAACCATTCGGAAGTTACACACTAACTACACAAAGATCACGTGTTTCTGGTCCTAATTACTTTATGAAGGTCAAACTGCCCATTTAGGTCGTTATGACTACGACAGGTATCCAATATTTCCGTGATTTCATTAAACCCTACCACACAAAGGTAGCTTAACAATATGTTATTAAGATAATTAGCGTACTACTTACAGCGGACAGGAAGTCCTCGCATGTATTTATACAAAGGGTGACTACTCTGATTCTGCGACTCTGCTCCCAATTAGCTGCCTTGCTGATCAATGAGTGGTAGTCGCTTTCGGCAAAGCCGTCGACCAGCGTCGAATTATATAAAATACTATACTCCAATAAAATGCGACGTGTCTCCTCTATTTCTATTTCTAAAAAGATGAAAATGCAAAATGAGAGAAAATTTAAAACTTTAAAAATGAATGGACATAAACTAAGATGGAAAACACTGCAATTTATATATTTTTTGATATGGTAATAATACAATAATCTTATGTGCTTAGTTGATACCTCTTCATGAATGTTCAAACATTAATATAAATGCATTGGCTATCAAAAGGCTATATTATCAAGAATGTCCTTGTTACTGGTGACAATTCAACACATTTATGATTTAACTAAACCTACGATAGCCTGTAACAATTTCACTCCTATTCGTTACCGAATCTGTTATTGTTAAATATATTTTAAAACATTGTTGTTGTATCGAAGAATTATTTTTGAGACTAGGCCGTTATATATCGATGTACGATTTACGGAAAGTAGTTTGTAACTCGCACAGAAGAAAAAGTTTTGTTTAATCTGTGTAGCTGTCATAATTAACCCAAAATGTTATTTAAAATAGTCATTCTTCTGAGCTAAATGTTGATAATGTAGGCGGCTTCAGATTACTGACACAGCCCCAGTCCCACATAAAACGAGAGTAATCCGGGGCGTGGTCATCCGTGTAAGTATCACTCACCTCGTGGAAATACATAAGTAAATTAATTCACATGATACCAATACTTATAGATATTTAATCGATAATATAATCAGAATATTTGAATGTATACAATTGATAAAATGACATCTTTTTTAGAAAGGAAACTACATACCTTATAACAAAAACAAAATAATAATAAGTTCTATCAATCATTATTCTGAAAGCAAATGTTGAAATGGCATTCGCCAAACAGAAAAAAAACTGATTCTTCCTAACCATTGAATTCGGAGGACAATATTAATATTGGCGCCCATGACTTAAACTATTCCACTATGATAATGGCAAAGCTACTAAGATACTAAATATCCAGCTATGTTGTTCAATAGTAACTCTAGGGACGCAACTTTGATAAATGACGTACTTTAAAAAGTCTATCTCTCGGTTGGACTCAGTCCTTCTATAGCCACACAAAACTAAAACTACTTCAACTAGAACTGTAAGCCAAAGGCTAACTAATACTCCCGCAATAATAACAATCTGAATGTGCTGTAGTGGTGGTCAACGACCTCGATGACCAATATCGTCCCTTTTGTTTTAATATATTTCAAAGACATCATTAACACCATTAGATGTTAATCATGTACCTACTGACATAATACAAGCACTCTCAATATGACAGTCGGTATCCTTATTACAGGTTAAATTATCGATTTTGTTCCAGAATACAATACGAGCTGGTTTATCAATTAGTAAACTTTAACAAAACACAGAAATTGGTCATTTAATAAAAAATGCTTCCTCAACCCGATTTGTTTTATGTATAATGAAAACGAACTAAAAGTAAATTCATATATAAATCCTTACTAAGACTCTTTTTCTATAAAAGGAAACATTATACAAAAGCTCCATTAAGAATCAATATTTGACGAACAATTTAAACTAGATAAAAGTATCCCGCAATCTGTTTCTCTTTCTGCCATGAGACCTATTTCAGAACATGCTGACGTGATGCGGGACATTATTTCAAAAGAGTACAAATTTTAACTTGAACACTTTAAAGGATAACGAATGGATTGCTTTAGGCCATACACATTTTTACAAAGCTTACAAAACAACGAAGGTAGAGTAACGTCCCTTGATTATCAAGCTGATAAGGAGTTTTTTCCTTGTACTTTTCAATCGTTGTTACGTAAATCTTCCCTTTGTTTAAATTTCCCATAGTTTTATCGACTTTGAGTTCGAATAATAATTGTGTTGACACTTCGTTTTGACGATATATTTAGCATAAACAAAAATAAACAATTCTGTATGGTCAAAAAAAGAATTTGTCTTCACAAAAAGGGGTCGGAACTATCTAGGTCCTTCTTTGTGTCATACAGCACGTTTTAATGGTTTTGGGGGTGAATTAAACATTATCCTTTTTATTAATGACACTCCTTGGTTCTTATATAAGCTTTTTCTCTTTTAATAAGTCAGATTTATGAAATATTAGTAACGATGTTTGCTCAATCAAAACAACACCATCACACATGTTCTTATTTAGATTTGTCTTGTTCGCTGTGACGTCAAAAAGGGTGATACTTCACTCACTACATATCGACAAGGATCTTCCTTACATTACAATCATCATAAACTATATTCAAATACAAAGTAGGTTTTTCACCTGTGTAACGTTTTTATCAGAACTACTGATGCAGTGGAAAAAGCACTTCAATCAATATATATCATCTTACAAAAATATAACGTTAGCTCATCAAGAAAAAAGCATGTGAATGTGTTCGTTATGTTCAGGATGGCCTGGATACCTTCATCAGGTAAGAAGGTAACACTAGTACCGAATCCAGGTTAGTTCAGTCATAGACATAACACTGTTGTTCAATGAGCACTTACCGATTCCACTCTCATACAGCAGTAACACTTCATGCCACTGCATGTGTAGGATTAATGACGTCACGATGACGGCGACATGCCCCACATTCTGTTCCACGGTCTGAGGTATCACATGACCTACATAACCGGAAGGAGGTTGGCACATGCCCTGTTTGGTAAGATCAGGATCTTGGTTTTGAAAGTTACATCCGAGTGTAGCTTTGTTGTTAGACGATAAATCGCTTGGAATGACAACCCCCGCGTGCACAAATGTCATATTTGCATGTGTAAATATTGGTTGAACATACCGGAAGTCAAGATCAGTAGCTATTAAACAGGAAGTCACCCCAATACGCTGAAACTCTGTAACTGAAATAACCAAACAAAGATATCACAGATAAGTCAGAACCGCATCAAGCAAAATGTTAATTAATTATCAATAGTCAAAATTGGGCGCAGTACTCATAAGAACTTAATATCGAAGCCAATACCTAGGAATTAACATGTCTAAAGTGACAAAAATAATGGACTGTTTTAAAATATAGGTTTTATAAGGCTAATTTCGTTGTTTTCTTCAGACTTGCAAAAACTACCAAATCAAATTCGTAAGGATGGATTGCAATTATTTTTTAATATTCTTAGCAAATAAAGGCGTTTCTTGTTGTTAGACCTACACATGAACTATGAAAAATCACAATAAACATAATAAAGCTAAATGACGTCAATGGAATGCTAACATGGTGAGGATACAGCCGAAGGAAACCATCAAAAGACGTCACACAAGATGGCCGCCAACACACATACCTGTTTGTGCCACCTGGAACAGTTCGCGACTGTCAATGTATTTCCAGTGTAGCGTAGTGGTGATGTTAGTATCATTAAGGAAGACTGTCCGTAACACTATTTCGTTCACGCACTTCGATGCATTCGGACACAAGTTTGCGATAACCCCTGAAAAAGAGAAGAATTTAAGTAACATATAATAATTCTCATTGCAATGGACCTAAAAAACGTATAGGAAGAACCTTACAAACATATTAGATCTGAACGTCAGAATCTTCTGGATTTAATCTTTATATTTTCATGTGTATTTACACACATAATTGATTATGCTCTTGGTCATTATATCACCAGGGGGTTATCTACGGACGTATTTAATATAAGGAAAATGTAAATAAAAAAAATCGAACATAGGCATGGTATTATCAGGGAGTACACATCCCTGGTATTATTAATATTATTATATTTTTTTTGTAAACCAGTGTTATATCACTGATATCTAATAATATGTATATACGTTTATGAACTTGTATGAATTGTTGTCATTTTGCAAATAATGTATTATTCATGTACTATCATTGTATCATGCTCTCCAATTTGGAGGAAATAAAGATGATATAGAACACTTTATTTCGTTACACCGAAGTGATTAGCTTGGTACATAGAACATTTTATTTCGTTACCCCGAAGAGATTATCATATATACACTTATTAATGATATTTATTGAATGTATGACTTCAATGTAATTAAGTCTGTATATGTCATGTATGTTATTTGGTGCTTATGTGTATTCAATATGATTTTTTTGTAATGTAAATATGTGCGAATTATTCTGTTTAAATGTAATCTTCAAATTGGAAGAAATAAAGAGAATAATATGGGTCGTTGGAACACATTCGTGTGTGCCCTACCTAAACAAAGTCTACGGCTGCGAGCTCCAATCATCTACCAATAGACTTTGTCACGTGATATTGGTCAGGTGACGTTGTCACTGAATACCATTCATCGCTTAAAATGCTGACATTTAACGCCTTTTAAAAGATTCAGTACTATTAAGTAACTCACTTTAATGATGTAATTACTTTAATCCTGGCAGACTGCCTTCGCGGTTTCTAATTCATTATTTTCTTCTGTATAAAACATGATTGTTTGAACAGGCTAGCTTGAAGTTCCAAAGTAAAGTTTCATGTTCATTAATCGTTTCGCTGTTTCAATAAATCGAGATCATAATTGCAATTTAAACAACTGTGAAAGACAAATCAATTTGTTCTATTTTTTCCCTTTTGTGCAGCCACAGAATCAACAAGCACCTGTCAGTATATCCTAGGTATTCCGGTTTTTAAGTGTTGATCGATGGACGGTCTCGTGGATACAGATTACCTGGGTCCCAATTACAACACACGTCGATAACTTAATGAGGCATTACCGTCACCAATTAAATGGTGATATTTTTTATAATGACCAAAACTGAAAGGATCTGGATTTCATTAAACACCTTCCAAACTTGTACACAAAACACACTTTCAAAAACTGTACAAAAACTACTTATATAATAGTCCTTTTATAAAATATATAATTTTGAAAACAAATCAGCTTAAATTATCATACAACTGTCAGGTTTCTATTAAACAAAGTTTCAAAACTGCATATAAAATCAAATACTATGACGTCATCGTGAATGAGTTACTGAACAACCCGTATATTTACTTTGATAATGTAAAAATTAAATTAAATCGATCTTACTGGAAGTTGTCCTTAACTATAAATACAGGATGATGTATTTGCCGTCAGTAGGCAGCACATTAATCTATATCATTCCATTATCCTCCACAGACATTGTTTGAATTAAAAGTTGTTCGGTCATTCAGGAAAAGAATACATACATCTCATTGAAGTGTCTTTAAACAGTCGTCTACCATTGCTTTTACATTGTTGACTTTGCGTGTCGCCATCAGACTATCCCTTGATGTTTTTGTATCACTACGCTCTTTTATCTAATACACGTATTATATTAGTCATGTTGTGTTGTACTTCCTATATTTGAACAAACTAAGGTTGACTATATGAGAAGTAGTCATAAATTGCAACAGAAAAAGACATAACCTACACGATAGGTTATCAAGTACTAAACGAAAAGTAATTATAAACTACACACGAAGAAATTATAAACGACACATGAAGTAATGATAAATTGTACAAGAATTGTAAAGCACACGAAAGGTAATCATAAACTGCACAAGAAGCTTTCTATCAATTGCACAAGAATTGTAAACCTCAGGACAAACAAGGATTTACTACTCACAAAAGAACTATTAACTGTGCTACTGTTACTGACGACAAAATTTCATCTTTTTCCGTTTCTTTTATATTTTGATTTGTCATAAACATACAGATAAGTAATTTATTTATTTATGAAATCATTCACATGATATAAGCAAAAAAATAGTCTAGTCTTGGATGATTTTGCAATGGTCAAACTGTCCGTTTGTAAAAGAAATAAAAATTACAATGTTTTCCATTAGAATGCCTATGAATTTTTTTCTTTGAAATATTACACCCAAAATCTGTTCGCGTGAAGTCTGTTAAAGTACTTGGCACGTCAGGTGTTAGACATATTCATTTTAAAACTAGTATAACTGATGAGGTAACATTCCTATTGTTGACGTTCCTTACATTAGCGTAAGTCTAGATTTATATAGAATATAAGTAATTTACATGACTACAAGATTTACAGACTAAAAAAGAAAAGCTTAACTCGTCGGCGTACTGGTACATATATTATATACACTAGTGCTGTGTTTGTAGACAGTGCATTACAATCTAAGTGCAAAGTTATTGACTGTTTTGGAATATTACGTCGGTGCAAATGCATAAATGATGTGATGTTTTTAAAGAAAACATCTATATTTCATTTAAACGTCTAGAGGTACTTTATGTATCGCGGTTCGTTTGTCAATCAGCGTGATCTATTTTACCTGAACAGATTTTCGTTTTAAATAAATGATGCAAAGCTCTATTACATCCTAAAGATGCCATTATTGGCATGCATTCATATAAATGACTATTTTTACAAACTATATTGTTATGCGATACGAAACCTCACTGTGTGTGAGATGTTATAGGTCTTAGTAATTCCCTACTATGCCCAGTTGTTGTTTACGTGAAGCCTAGTCCGACTAACTCACTGTGTGTGATATGTTATAGGTCTAAGTAATTCCCTGCTATGTCCAGTTGTTGTTTACGTGAAGCCTAGTCCGGCTAACTCACTGTGTGTGAGATGTTATAGGTCTTAGTAATTCCCTGCTATGTCCAGTTGTTGTTTACGTGAAGCCTAGTCCGGCTAACTCACTGTGTGTGAGATGTTATAGGTCTTAGTAATTCCCTGCTATGTCCAGTTGTTGTTTACGTGAAGCCTAGTCCGGCTAACTCACTGTGTGTGAGATGTTATAGGTCTTAGTAATTCCCTGCTATGTCCAGTTGTTGTTTACGTGAAGCCTAGTCCGGCTAACTCACTGTGTGTGAGATGTTATAGGTCTTAGTAATTCCCTGCTATGTCCAGTTGTTGTTTACGTGAAGCCTAGTCCGGCTAACTCACTAGCTCTGGGTTTCATATACTGCATACTTTAATGTATCTAAGTCAAGGTTCTTTGTCTTCAGTTTCAATAAAACGCTGTTGGTAATTCTATACAGAATGCATCTGAATACGACCTAATGCCTGACTCATTTACACTCAACGTGCACATTTCGTTTTATTGAGCATGAATACACAACGCCAGTTTTAGAACTTTTAGGAAAAACAAAAAACAAAAATCTTCATTTAAACAGAATGAAAACCATGGCTTGTGAAGATTTTAAAATTATTACCAATATAGCTCCGGATTATTTATGTAATCATTTAACCTTGAAATCGCCTTTTTATAACCTCAGGAATGAAAGGCAGCTGGAGCTAACAAGAGTAAGAACAACCAGGTATGGACTGAAGTATTTTCGCTACGAGGCCGCTCGGGTGTTGAACAGTCTGCCAAACCATTTGAGGAAGGTGGATAGTTATCCAGAGTTTGCCAGACTGCTGCACTCCTGGGATGGCCCCGTTTGCTCATGTCGTATCTGTACATGTGTCTAGAGATTTAATGTGTTTTCAGTGTTTTAGTCTTTATTACTAGCTACCTGCTTTATTTATCTATCATTTATTTACCTACCTATTTGGGTTAACTTCTGCTAATAAAACTGGCAGCATAGTTTCTAGTCCTCTCGTCTAGTCATCATCATAGCTCAATATATTTTACTTACTAGACCTTGTCGTCCTATTTTGATTTTACACTATATTAGTGTATATTATGTCAATTTTTACTCTTTTGCTATATTAGCATGTATGTACATTACACTTGAAGTGTTTTAACCCTCCAATATATAGCAACACCTGTGTGATATGCAGGTGTTTCACTATTATCTCTTTACATCACTTTAGTATAGTACTTTAAATTTAGTGCCTGTGATATCTAATTATAAGCTGCTATGTTATTGTATGTTTTACTCGCTGATTATGTGCTAGCTTTCTGTGATAGTGTATAGCTTGATTTGTTGTTTGCTGTTTGCTTTTTATCATGTTTGTCGCAAAAATAGCGCTACAGCGCTAATGTTTATCTGTTTGATATATGCGACGCTAGATAAAGTTTCTTGTATTTTGTATCTTGTATGACATGGGTCACTAGGTAAGCAATGAAGCGACACCGTTCATTCTTGTAAATCTTGTATTTGCCGTTACGCATCTAGAGCAAGCACTGATTACATATGTTAACATGCTAATCCCTTTCGCCAACACACAATAACAAAGTTAGCAGTCAATACCGATACAAAGAGACACGTACAATAAGAACTGAGGAAGCATAAAAAACAAAGGAAGAATATATTATTAACCAAAAAACTAGGATGTAAACCCAGGTGATCCGGAAGGTTAAGCTTTGCCTACACCACATGTTGCACACATCATCATAATCTACGCTCAATTAAGGAAAGTAGGTCACCAAACACAAAGGCAGCATTCCCTTCATCATGATGGATAATAAAATACCATAACAGGTAGAAATGGTTACGGCTGTAATTATCTTTAGGGTTGACTGAATTTACACAGGTAAAAGAAAATTTAGAAAGGGGATAAGGCAACAGGACA